GAAAATATAAGGACAGTTAGGTACAAAACTAAATTCAATTAACAAGGAACGTGTTAACAAGGAACAACTAAAATCATTTAACAGCAACAAATCTGTGAATATATGAAAAGTATGAAGAAAACAAAGGGATATAGAGGTCCATTACCACATGTAAAAGGAGAGCAAATAAAGGACAACACAGAGAAGGCTGAGGTATTTTAGGTCGTCTTTGCTCCAGTCTTCATGAAAAAGGCAAACTGTGATCAGACACTTCATTAGCGATGATAAAGAAAGGACATGTTATAGAATAGGTAGATGACAGACGGATCAGCCAAATCTAATGAAATTCATTGAGTGCTGCTTAACAACCTAGCTGAAGGAATCTCTGAACCACTGGTCGTTATCTTCAAGAATTTGTGGAGGATGGGGGAGAGGTCCCAGAAAGGCCAGGCAAATATAGCACCTCCATTTGGGTGGGGGGCAGGGAAGGGGAAAGAGGAGGTTTTCTGGAAGCTCCAAACCAGTCAGCCTAACTTTGATTCCTGGAAAGATTCTGCAACATATTATTAAGCCACCAGTTTGCAAGTACCTAGAAGATAAGGGGATTTTTTTTTTAAAGCAAGCAAGCTAATGCAGGCTTGTTAAATATAGATTCTGTCAAACAAATCTAATTTTCTTCCTTTGACAAGGTTACTGGACTAATGGATAAGAAGGAGGCTGCACATATTATAAATCTTTAGTCCAGTAAGGCTTCTAACACTGTCCTCACAATATTCTCTTAAACAAGGTAAGGAAATATGAGCCTAATATAATCAATTCAAGGCAGGTGCACAGTTGTTTGGAACACTGCTCTCAGAGAATAGTTCTCTCTAACTGGGAGGGCATTTTAAATGTCTTTCTGCTTAGATCTGCCCTATTACTGTTCAATATTTTCATTAAAGATTTGGAAGAATAGGAGTCAAGAATGTGAGACCAGATGGAATGGTGTGCCCAGTTTTGAGCACTAGCCTTTACAAAAGATCAAGACAAACTGGTAGAATCTAGAGGAGAAAAAGAATGATGCCAGGTTTGGAAAACATGACATATGAAGAAGAATGCTGCGGGGGACAGAGTTATTTAAGTCATTTGCTTTGGAAAAGGCTGTTATAATAATGATGACCATTTGTTCTCTGTTGATACTATGGAAAGGGCAAGACGCAGGAATTCATAACTCAATGGCTGTGAAAAGTTAGAAAAAGCTATACAAGGATGTTGTAGAATCTCTTTAATGGGAGGTATTTAGGAACAGATTTTTGTGTATATAGTCTAGGTATACTTGATGTTGCCTCATTTCAGGGGGTAGGCTCAATGGCCTCTTGAGGTCCCTTTCCGTTCTTTATTTTTATGATTCTATGAATTCAGTTTAGCTGAACTAAAACATTCACTTTGTGAAATCAGCGTAAACTGCAGGTAATCCCTAATATTTTTAGTCCACAAAAGCAGGCAGGCAGAAACCTGTTCAGCATGGGGAGTACAAGATAAATGACATTCTTTGCTCTGAGCTCTATCATTAGTGTCATCAGGCATGTCAATGGTAATCGTAGCAAGTGTGATGAAGGCTAATCTGTGTTGGTTTGTGTCATGGAAGAAATAAGGTGCGTGTGGGGGCCGATGACTCAATGGAAAACTGGCTAGTGAAGATTTTCCCCCCCAACTTTTAAAAGGGTTTTAATGGAAAATAAACAAGGGGGGGTGGGGAAGTACTGGACAATGGCCCTAGCAGTCCTATACCCTCATTGTGTCTCCAGCTCCTGAGAAATGCAGTCCCAAGCTGTCTCACTGCCAAGGAAGTTCAGGCAGGAGGCCAGCAAGGCACTTGCCTTGTGAGTGGCAAGACGCATTGTGGACTGCTGGCTTCTCATGCTGCTCCTAGTCTCTTCCAAGAATTCAGAGTAGACAGAGAGCCTCTTTTTCACAAAGTAGCTTTGAGTTTGGCTGTGGAAAGATGATGAAGATACTTTGCTCTAATGAAGTATGTTGGAAAATGGTTGCCCCAGGACTCAGCAATAGTCCTGCAATTGGCTGTTGGAAGTTCTCTATAAATGACTGACTAGCCATGAAGAAGGCGCTCTTGTTGTTAGACTGCTGAGATAAATTGTTTTGCATTATGCTTCCCTGGTGTTTTCTGTTCAGGATTTGAGAGTGAATTAGGAAGGTCTGACATTGAGAATGTTAAAGGTCTAACTGTGCCCATCCCTTGTGCTAGAAGGAAACTTACTGCTTTGCTTATGATACCTAATTCTAATAGTTTATCTATTTGATGTGCTTTTATCTTTAAAGCCTGCTAATACCATTGTGCACCTGATCTCTTCCCTCTCTCCTCTTTGGTATTTTGCCTGCCTTCTGCCTCATGTTTTTCTACACTAACTAACCTGACCTGGAGAAGCAATTTCTTTTAGCACCCACTCTACCAGTTCACATAACCTTATTCATATGAATGAAGCTCTACCTCTAGTCCCTTTACTCTACTCTAGAAATAAATGGAATCCTAGTGGGAAATGCCCTTCCTCCTATGTGCCCTTCCTCGTCCTCTGTGTATGTTGAGAAACAGTCAAACAACGTGTGTGCTGGTTGCAAACTAATAAAACTTCTGGCAGATACTGCCTGTGCTGGATACTAAGGAGGGCAGTAGAAGGGTATGGCCACATGCTACGGAAAGGCAGTATTGTTGCAACTCCAGGAGGTTACCTGTTACTGTACTTGCCAGTAGATGAAACCCTATGCTGGGAAACACAGAGCTGTTTCTTATTGCTGTCATAATTATTGCTAATGGTTGCATTCCAGGCCTGTGCTTAAATGGCTGATAAGCAACCAAACAGGCATTTGACAATATGTACCATTTCCTTGTTTTCTACAAGACTTCCCCCTTCCAGGAACATATGCTAGATCAGTGATCCTTAACCATGGTGCCTTGGAACAAAAGAAACCCAGAAGTTTTGACCAGGAATCCATGGTGTTAAAAATGTTCTGTGCTTTTGTGGTCTTTCAGAGTTCTTTGCAACTTAAGAACGGCTCTTGTCTTTTTCTGCAATCAAAAATGAGGGAAAACAAAGAGCCAGCATTTTCTGAGGAGTGCCTTGAGTTTCAGGCAGGGGGTTGCCTTGAGTCTAAAAAGTTTGAGAACAACTGTTCTAAACAGCTGTATTGCACAGAACTCTGCATTGGACCTTACTGAGTTTTGAGTGTAAATCAAGTAATTCCACTGAAGTCACTGAGACTATAGCTGTTAAAGCTATAGTTGGTGAGACTATAGCTGTAAGATGCTAAAGTCCTGGATTCGCATCTGATCTTTGCTCCGGCTTCACAGGGAATCTGTAGCAAATTCATCTTCCCTGTGTGGGTTTATTGCTTTTACATCTAAAGCATGTGACAAGGGACCGATCAGATCCCCAGACTTCTCCACTGCAATCGTCTCCTTAGCATAGAGTGTGTCATCTTCCTTTACCTTCAGGTGCCCAATCACAAACTTGTGGACTATGTGGTTCCATACAGACTTCTGAAAGACAGAGAGGTGACCAAAGTCATGTTGCAGCCACCCAGCCTGGGCCTGGGGAAGAAAAGAAACAGAGGTCACAGGGTGGTTAGAAATCAAAGGCAGGCAAGATACAGAGTGGAAGGCAAGTACTGTGTGTGTCAACATGATGGTGTGGATGGTCCTACCAAAAGCAAAGGTATGGAAGAGGAGATGAAGTTCTATGCTTGCTGCAGGGGTTACTGGATCCAGGAGAGAGGGACATGGGAGAAAAAGGTGTTCAGGGAGCATGAACATTATGTGGTGAGGGGGTGATTGGTCTTGGAATGTGCTTCTAAAGGGAGTTTGGTACTAATCTTGGCAGGAAAGGCTCTGAAAAACTGGGTGCATGGATGGGTCAGCTTTCATAGAAGCACGTGCAAGTTGACTACTTAGGACCCACCACTTCTCACCTGGGAGGTTGCAAGGATGCAGGAAAGGATAAAAGTTGTGATCCAGCCGGTGCCATAATATGAAATCATTAACAAACCCAAAGCTTCCATAATCAAGATATGACAGAGGTAAAGTGAGAAGAATAAGGGATCTGCTTTGAACAAGTTCATTTCCTCTGCTGTCTTCCTCAAGGCTCGGAAATCCTCCACCAGCTGAGACTACAAAAAGGAAATGCAAAACAAAACATTCACTGTCTATACAGGTCTGAATTTTTCCCATGAAGCTTTGGGCTTCAACTCTAATGCCCCCATCACTGTTTTGGAACAATAAAGTCTACATACTCAGACAGCTGTCAGCTGTTTCTCCAGGAATGTGATCCTATTCCCTCACCTTCTAAGATTAATTTTGCCTCCTTGACCTACTCTTTTTGAAATGGGAAGGGAGTTTAAGTCCAGATTCTTAGCTGGTGTAAGTCATCTGAGCCATACTGAAGAAATAAAGCTACATAAGTATATCAGGGATCTAAATCTCATTTTGGCCACGTGGCATGGCCAGCCTGTGGGCTAGGAATGAGGGGCTACCCACAAGGCTGAAAATATGATGGCAGCAGCTCCCAGAGTTGTGGGAGCCACTGCTCTTCCTGCCACAAAATTTCCAGCCCCATGGACAGACCCACAGGACAGGTGACATGGCTCTGTGCTCTGGATCCATTCCTGTGGGGAGTCCTGTGGGCTGTATGATCGAGGGCAGCAGGGCAGGCCCTATGAGGAGAGGCTATGGGACCTGAACCTGTTCAGCCTCCACAAGAGAAGGGTGAGAAGGGATCTGGTGGCCACATACAAACTTGCCAAGGGGGACCAGCAGACAATGGGAGAGTCCCTGTTCCCCCAAGCACTACCAGGAGCAACAAGGAATAATGACCATAAGTTGACTGACAGTAGATTCAGGCTAGATATCAGGAGGCACTACTTCACAGTCAGGGTAGCTAGGAGCTGGAAACAACTTCCAAGGGAAGTGGTGCTCGCTCCTACCTTGGGGGTCTTCAAAAGGAGGCTAGACAATCACCTAGCTGGGGTCATTTGACCCCAGCATTCTTTCCTGCCCATGGCAGGGGGTCAGACTTGATGATCTGCTCAGGTCCCTGCCGACCCTACCAACTATGAAACTATAAATTTGACAGTGGGACAATCACTGGCAGTATTAATTGGGAGCTTTAGTGATTAACACTGCTACTACTGCTGCCATCAAATTTCCAGCCCTGTGAGGAGCCCTGCACACCAGATGACAGCTTTATCGATAATATCTTTACCACGCCTGGCTTACATGAACCAAAGATTTAGCCTATTTTCCTTTCCCCTGAAATTATGATTCAGTCCATTCACCTATCCACAGCCCTGAAGCTCTGCTCTTGTGTGAGTGTTGCATTTAAAGCAGCCATTTTCTCTTTTTGATTGGTCAGTTGGTGTGTGCAGTCATTTATGAAGGTTAATGTAATCACCCCCTATTGTGGATGATGAAAGTATATATTAAATTCCGTCATCTAAAGAACAATAGGGAGGAGGAAGGATTTCACTTTAGAAAGCAGCCAGGCAGCACACAACATTTGAATAATGAATGAATGGAACATTTGGTAGGTGTATAGCACTGGTCCCATGATGTGAGACAGATGAGAGGACAGCTCTGCAGCTTTATAAGCACAGTACTCAGCCTGAACAGTTTTTGTTTGCTTTCTCCCATTGGCATTTCATTCCCATGCCACATGTGCCATCAACATGGCTACTCTTTTGAACTATTTCTTCATCTGAGGGCTCAGCAGAAGCTGGTCTGAATTTTGGAGTAGAATTTCCTTGGGGTGAGCTGTCTAAAGGATGTTATGGAGCAGACTATAGAAGGGACAGGTGGCAAGCAGTATCCGTGTCATTATTTTGAAGCCCTTTTATCCATAGCAAAAAAACCAACAAGCTCTATGAATGACTGGCAGAACCAGGACGTCAGAATAGGAACAGCAAGACTATTGATTAGAGACGTGTCCCAGCCCCAAAGACTGGAACCAGATCCAGCCTGATCTTGATCCTTTTCCCTTTAATTTTATGGGTATTGCAATCTGGGTGCTAAGGGCTGGACTTGCCTGATTGTTACAGAAAGAAGTTGAGCTGCACAGGCGTTGCTACTGAAGAAACTGCAGGAATAGAACAGGAAGGCCTGTTGCAAGTATGGTATCTTCATACTTGTCAACACTGGAACATACACAGAGGTGTCTTGAACGTGAATGTCTTTTCCCCAGGTTTCTGTGCTCTCTGGAGTTCCTTATAGTGTGGCAGACTTACGCATTGTGTGTAACAGCACTGGACACAGGAATTTGGAAGGTGGCTTGATAATTAAGCTGGAATGGGCGGATTATGGATTCCTGTCTAGCAGAAAACCCCTGAGAGCTACTCACATTTTTATCTCGATCCTGGCTGGGTTCTCCTGGGGCAAGCTCTCCAATAAGTAATGGCTTGAGAAACTTCTGCACAAAGCTGGGATTGATGTGAAAGGCCCAGAAAGCATCCTGGGGAAGAAACACAGGTAAATAAACAAGATTCAATAGCAGCTACTGGCCATTTCACGCTGGTTCATTCCTTTCTGTCCCCTGCAGTACCCTCCTCCACACCATTTCCCCATACTTATTCAGCAGTAGCATAATGGTATTGGCAGTAGCATAATGAAGGGGGGGCAGGGGGATGACTACAGCAACAGCCTCAGGTTATAACCCCAGAAGGGAAGGGGGTGTGTGAAAAAATAGAAGCAGCTGCATTGCAGGACTGGCTGCTGCTGTGCCACCATCATCACAGGCAGTGATGTCACATTACAACATTGGCCACTGGCTCAACTGCAACCCCACAATACACAATTCTTCTCAATGCTGTGCTTCCAGGTCAAGAAGATGACTGAAGTTGCCTTTTATTAGGGTCAGAATTTTGACAATGTTAGTCATCTAAAGATGCTGATAGAAATCTGTCTTGTGGGATTCCCCAATAGGAATTAGGTACCTCGTTGTTTGCTTTGAATGGAAATTAGGTACTTATGAAAATCCCAAGGGGTGCTCACTGATTTTAGGCATCTCTACCAGTAGGTGCCTAAATACCTTTCAGAATCTTGCCTTAAGGACCTATGCCATTGCACTGCATTCAACAAAAGGTTCTCCCCCCTCCCCCAACTCCAAGTTCACTGTCCAGAGACTCTCCAGGGCAATCCTAAAGCTTTTGCTTTTGATGGGCTGTAAACTAGTATGGTATCAAACCAAACACCAGAACTAGCACTGGCTACATTCATAAGTGTGTCTCAAAGCAAAGTGAAATTTTACCATTGGGAAAGCTAGTTCCTTTATAACCAACATATTATAAATTACAATGGATTGCTAGCTGATCAAGAAAGATCGGTTACACTTACTGGTATATTCTATTGTAGAACTGCTGACTCCCAATAATCACTTAGAAAACTCCACATGCATTACGTGTTTACTGTGTGCCTGGAAGGAACTAGATGTCTTGATTTGAGAAATATTTTGCAAGGTAAATGTTGAGGCCTTGGATGTCAGGGAGAAAAGGCTGAGTCTGCCAGATTTATGTAGGGGACTTCCCTGGTATACAGCCAATACCCTTCTCTGTTCCTTGATATGATTTGAACTAATTTCTCCCTCATCTTATGCTTCCTCCTACATACCTTCCAGCACCAAGATCCCACAGAGTCCTAGCAGGGAGAAGAACTGATACCTCCAAAGGTATTTTTCAGTTGTTCATAATCTCCCTTCCTTCCACCAGTTAGATTCTGGTCCAGAAAGGTGGTGCTGGTCCAGAATGATGGGGAGATTTTAATAAAAGTTCCTCCATCCCTGCTCTTTCTTCAGTGAATCCCAAAACTATGTAGTAGTCTAATCTTTCCAGGACTTGCAAGTGAATTTTAGTTGTTCTGTATGATCCCAAGAGCTTCTATTATAAAGGGTCCTGTCAGAGACTTGCTTATCTATTCAAATTGCCAAATTCCTAATCTACGATGTCACCCGTGGCTTGGGAACTCAAAAGGAGATTGTGGGCATTATTGTTGTTGTTGGGTTTTTTGCCCCTGATGCTGTATGCTGCATACAAAATTCTCTCCAAGCTGCGTGTGTGCATGGCTGCGCACACTTTAAAATCATGCTGTGCACAAACTTATTAATGCCGTGCACCTGCCCGGAGAGGCACATCATAAAAGTGACACTAGAAGAGACCAATGGCGGAGGCACCGGGGCCAGCACAGGGCACTTACCAGAGGTAAGCTCAGGCAGCGGCTCTTCCCTGAGGCCATGTATCTCCTTCCCAGCCCCAACGCCATGTCTCCTTGCTCCCAGAGGCATGGTGAGGTAGGACTGGGGGCTGGCGCAGGCTATGCCGGTGCTGGGAAACTGCTCTGCTTACAGCCCCGACACCATGTGCTTCCTCACTCCCAAAGGTGAGGTGGGGGCTGGGACCTGGAAACCTCTCCGTTCCCAGAGGCAAGGCAGGGGCTGGGGGCTGACATGGGCTCTGCCAGCACTGGGAAACTGCTCTGCTCCCCAGGCCCAATGCCACGTGCCTCCTCGCTCCTGGAGGTCGGGGCTGGGGCTAGGGCCAGGAAACTGCTCTGCTCCCGGAGGTGATGCTGGGGCTGGCGCGGGCTCTGCCATCACTGGGAAACTGCTCCACTCCCCAGTCCCAATGCCATGTGCCCTCCTTGCTCCCAGAGGTGGGGGCTGGGGGTGCCACCAGTTTTTTAGCCATTTTGTGGTTTGTCTTTATTGTCACTAGTTTATGCATTTGAATTTAAAAGTATTAAACAGAAAAAGAAGCTGCAAATGGTGTTTTTATTAGAAGAATCCTAAACTGTGTAATCTTGAATTTGGGAGTTCTAGTTACAGCTGTGTCTAAGGGCATAGGCAGGCAAGGTGCTTTGGGTGCTGTGGGGCAGACTGAACTGGCGAACTCACAGACCGAAGTGGTGTGTTCACAGACTGCTACATCTTAGAGGGAATATTGGCTGCATAGTGTTTCTGCCCAATGCCAGTATGAGAGCTTTCACTTGTCACGCAGACAGACTAGTGAATGTGGCCACTATGCCACCTAGCACAAGAGGGCTAACATTTTCAAGAGAACCAAAAGGGTGGAAAATTTAGAGACAGTTAGTTGCCTGACCCCCTTAGAGTTCCATGATAATAACACCCTGTGCTGCCACAACTCTTTTCATCCATGAAACTCAAAGCATTCACTTAAATACGTTTTGCCATTTTAATAATGTTACCCATTTAGCAAGTGCACAAACCAAGGCACAGAGAAGTGTCTTTCCATGGTATAAGAGCTAGGAATAGGACTCAGGAGTACCCACCTATTTTCTAAACACAAAGTCCAGATTTTCATGTGCTTGTTCTCTGCAGCTGACCTACCTGGGTGCTGAGCTCTTCAGAAAAATCTAGGTCTGACTCTAGGTGCTGAATCCTGAATAGTCCAGGCAGGGTCCAAAGCTCAATGGAATCAATAGAAGCTTTTCAAATGACTCTTCCTTCCTTCCTTCCTCATGTCCTTGTGTGACAAGGTATTTAGTATAATTTGCAGATTCATTGGAATCTGTCAGGGCTATGCTGTAAGCACTTCTGTTCTGGCCTTGAACTTGTGATCTCTATGCTGTCAACCATGCGTCTTAGTGCCCACACCACTGTAGCCCCCTTCAAATTAGGACTTTGTATTGCATTCTGCCTAAGAAACGTTTGCTGACAGAAAGGGATGAGATGAAGAAGGAAGGAGGGAGACAATCCGAGTCATTTAACTTGAGGTTCAAGAAATGCAGGAAGAAGCCAAGCCGTTTTTATATATGAGAAGTAAAGGCTAGAACAGGGGCAGAGGAGGACAGAAGCCA